TAAAAACTTTTTTCGTTAAAGAACAGCAATAGTATCCAGCTTCATTTAGCAATAAATTACATTTTTTTCGATGGAGAAATATATAAACAATCTTAAAATCTGGAAGTATATAAATTGAGTCATACCGGTAATTTTTCGCGGGATCAAAAATATTTCATGACATAAAGGATTGCTGAGATTGCTGGATTCTCGAAAATATTTCATAACAAAGATTGCTGAGATTGCAAGATTTCAAATTATATTTCGGAATAAATTTTGTCGAATACAATCATGAATTGAAAGTGTTTACAAACAATTTTATGTAGTACGATCTAATACTCAAACGTACACAGTATGTACTACGCAGTATTCTTAAGCAGTTTATGAAAATAGTTACAACAGAAAGAAAATTATTGTCAGAAAGTATAGAAAAATAATCTGTTATGTATCAATTTGATATAAAATATTACATTGCATTATATTTGCCTTATGTTTCTGAATACATGTTTCGCGTATCACCACAAATTTTGAATTTATGGCGATTGGTGATATTTTTGCACTTGAAACAAATAATTTATTTTGATAAGGAATAACTAAATGGTTTCTCTCGTAAGTAGTGTTTAATTTTTTACCGCAAACTATAATACGAAAACGCTTTTGCATATATAAAGTTGCCATTTGTAAATAAATATCAATGTTTCTATCGTAGATAGCAGGTACTGGCGCAAATATAAATTTAGAATGAGTGAAAGTTCACATTTCCATTGTGAACATGATTCATCGGACGAGTTTCTCGAAAGGAATACAGATGAAGAAGGTCAAGAGATTGCAATGCACTTTCGTTTCTCCCTATGTGATTTTTGTTAAAAACTTGATGCCATTCGCGTAATCGATTGAATTGAACATTATATAATTCTGTTCAAATGTGTCACGATTTATAATGACAATTATCATATCAACGTTTATTAAGGTACGATATCCCGCGATTAAAATCATACCGTATATGTGTTTGACATTACGATACTTTGATCGTTCGTATTCTTTTTATGACACTTACTTCAACATGGCTACAAAAAAATATTGAAGAAAAAGATATGAACACATTCGCCATCGGCAAATTTTTCGCTTTTCTAATTCTCATTGCCGCAAATTTCTGACATTAAAACAAAAATTAGAAAATTTGTTTTGAAATATTAGTCTTGTAACGTTTGAAATGAAGAACTTTTTTCGTTAAAGAAGTCGCAAATGGAAAAGAAAGCAGAAAAATAAAATATTTTGAAAGTTATATTCTGGGGTCTATATAGAATATACTATAGCATCTTGTTGTCGTGAATGTGTCCTTCAAAATCATTTATTGAGAAGCCAATATCGACTTTTTCTTTTGAAGATTACAGAGAAGGAAATAAATAAAAAATTTTTCAATGTTTCAACGAAATATTATCACAGTAAAAATCTATTATAGTCATTTTAAAATTGGAACATGGATTTATGTTAGATGATAAAATTCAATTAATTTTATTTTGTATTTTATATTCTCCGTGATAGATGTTAACAAAAAATGAGATTAAGTAAAAAATTCTAAATTAAATAATTTAATGTTAAATAATAACAGTTAAGAATTAAAATTTGTAATTATTAATTTCAATAATAATATTTTTATTAAGAATCCTTAAGAATATAAGAACAAATGAAACAAATGAAAAAAACAAGTATTAGAAAATGAGGAAAATGATGAATTTTTCACGATTGAACAATCATTTGGAGATTTAGCGCGTAGTATTGTTGCGCTAAATCGATATAGAAAGATCGGGGATCTAGTCAGAGGATATTGCGAAATTTTATTGCATCGTCAAATATATATCTCAACAGGACGAAGAACCATCATCATCAGGAATGGTAGCAGGCAACGCCCTCAGAAAAAAGGATCGGAAAGGCGGCTCAGATCGAACGACAACCACGTAGGGATGGAGGACATGGTTGAATCGACGAAGGACTGAAGAGAATCAAAACCGACAAAAAAGAATCAGGGACACACTGTGTTGACTTCAAATCAAGGACCAGACGAACCGGTCTACCTCTCTGTGAGATGCGTCTAATTTTTTCCCCGTTCGTCTTCTTTTTTTTCCTCTTCTTTTTTTGCTTCTCTCTTCTTTCTTTCTTTCTTTCTTTCTTTCTTTCTTTCTCCTATATCTGCGTTTGCCTGAAGTCTTCCTTTTACGCATCTTCTCTCTTTCTCTCTTTCTTTTCGGATCAGAATCTACTTTTTTTTTTCATCCTATGGAGATGCTTGCAGGTGTCTGGTTTGGGACTGACCAAAAGTCTTAACCGCTAGTACCGATTTCCAATCGCCTTGTCGCTGTCGAATGCCGCAATGCTGCACCTCTCTCTGATTATACACCATCATCCACTCGATCTGCCATCACGGTAAACTAACAATAAGATTAAGATACAGAATCATAATTGGTAATAGAATCAGCTAGCGAGCGACTCTATGTGTAAAAATAAGCCGAGAAAAATGAATAAAATTTTTTTATGTAAAATTCCATTTTCAAGAAAATCGAGTTTGAAAATTTATCAAATATATTTGAATGATTAATTTCAGACTTTATAAAAGTGCATAATCGACAGGAGATTGTTCTACGTACGAAAATAAGTAAAATAAAATAAAGCAAAAATAAAATAAAATTTTTCTATTTAAAATCTCGTCTTCCAGAAAATAGAGTTGAAACATGTTCAGTTGCTTAATACACAGTTGCTTAATACAAAATTTGCCTAATACACGTATACTCGATGAATTTTCAAGTTGGATTTTCTTGGACAATTTATTTAATAAAAATTTTAGTCTATGGTTTTTATTTATTTCTATAGTTATTTTATATTTAATTCTGTAATTTTGATACTTAATTCTAAGATATCTTCCTATCAGTTATACATTTCTATATGTGTCTAAAATTAACCAAATTCAAGTATACTTGACAAATTTTCTATTTTCTCAAAGATAAAGTTTTAAATGATAAAAAATTATTGTTTTGTATGTAAAATTATTTTCTCTGATTCATCTATTACATGGCGTCTGATACATTACATGTGATGCATTTAACGATTATACATGCAATTAATTATTGAAAATTAATATTTTATAAATATATTTTATAAATATATTTTATAAATATAAATTATTAACTAATGGTAACAATAACAGCAGTAATAGTAATAATAACAATAACAAAACAACAATGAGAGTAATAATAATAGTAATAATAATATAGTAAATAATTTACTTAATAGTGGCAAAATAATAATAGTAATAGTTAATAAATTATATCCCAAATTTATTTCGCTGGAAAAAACAAATATAAAAGTGATTCATTTATTCAATCAATTTGATAACTAAAAAAAAGCGAAAAGTTGTTAATGGCAATTTTTATCTGACAATTAAGACTGAAATGATTTAGCGATTCTGAATATAATATGAAGATGTCTAAAATATTCTAATCGTATTAGCTATTGTCAAGTACTGGTCAATGTAGAACTTCAATCGTGTGTTTACTATCAATAGATAGATTTATGATCACTATTATCATATTTATACATTGTACTATATAAGTACTGTCTGTATATCTGAAAACGTCCATTCAATTTGAGTGAAAATAAGTGTATTGTAATACTTCATTGTAAGTGAGAACTTATGTTTACAAGGATTTTTGGTGATTCAAAAATTTAAAAAAAATTGACATATTGACATATTTCATGTACGGTGTTTATTTTATTCGTTATTAATGAATTATTATTTATGATCATTAAAAATATTTTAATGTAATTTTATAATATAATATAAACTACGCCTGCGTTACGCCAGTGCAGTCATTCCTATTCCGAATGATGAAAATATTTGTATTTTGTACATATTTGTATTTGTAGATAGCAAATATAGCTAGTTAAAAATGAAATTACACATACATTTACATAGGATTAATGGTGGTATTAGGTTAGGCTCGATTAGATTTTGCAATGAATAAAAACTTATAGTGGAAAGTAGGATAAAGCTGGGTAAGAGTGGCATGATATTCAGATGGATCCCACGATCTTATTTTACAAATTTCAATAATAATCAACATCATAGTGTTCCATACAGGAAGAGTTAAAAATTTCGGCTTGAAGAGGTTTCAATATTTTAAGTTAAGACTGTTTTTTAGTGTTTTCACATTCAGGAATCCATTCAGATATGTATTCTATAATTCTTACAAAGTATTTTGATCTTTTTTTTTTTACCGTTCTATCTCGTACCAAAGTATAAATATTTAATGTTTAATGAATGAATGCATTTGGGATAAAACCGGATATTTGGCTATGGAGCGGAACCAAGTACCCGGTTTTGCTTTGTACTATCTGTGTATAGTGTACGTTTCATTTTCATGTTTCTGTGTGATTGATCTTGCAAATTAATATATCTTATGCCCCCTTCCCTCATTGCACTCGTCGTTTACAGCCATTGGATGTCAGTTTCATGGCTGTTAAATGCTTAAATTAAATGCTTAAATCACGAACAAGAGGTTAGGAAGTGGTTGATTTCTAATCCCGGAAGAAGCGTCACAATTTGTGAAGTAATCATATTTTACAAAGCTGCATTTTTTAGAACAGCAAGAATAGAAACTACTGTTCAAGGGTTCAGAGCAACTGGAATATTTCTTTTTAATCCCGATATATTTCTCAATCGTTCTAGCGGAAACAACAAACAACAGGAACGATCAGGATACAACAAGAGAAAATACTCATGAAAACTTTATCATCGATAACAACAGAAATGGAAAATTTTCCATCGACATCAAAAAATCCAGAAGCTGCGCCATCCACATCGAAAGATGTAGAACCATCGACGTCACAGTATTGATTATGAATCAATATTTACATTTCCTCCCCAAACAATTAAATCTATCCCCAAAGCAGAGCGAACAGCAACAAGAGTGTTGAAGAGGGCGACGAATATTTTATTTGCGATTTTTGTTTTATTAATTAAGATATATGTGTGTGTGTGTGTGTGTGTGTGTGTGTGGGTGGGTGTGGGTGTACATAAATTTATATTTTAAATAGTTCAAATTTTTTATAAATACAAAAAAAGTTCCTAAACTAGTAATTCACATAATTTTTTATAACTAATTACTATTTTTTAACTAATAAAAATAAAAATTTTGTAACTGTATTGTATTTTATACGTTTTTTAATAAATACCCAGTACCTACCCCTATAGGATAAAATCGAATTTTTGCATATCTTCAGAAAATTTTATTTTCCCGTGAGCCAAACAAATTGTCCCAAAAAGTTTGGTCATTTTCTTATTGTTAGATTTAGCTTTATGTGAATTTTTGCCATTCGATTTTTTGTCACGAAGCTAAGTACATTAAGTACTCGGGTTTACCCTACTTTCTCCTACTTCCTCCGTTCTGAAATAAATGTTCAATTTACAAGTTATAAAGTACATAATGTGACACTTATTTTGGAACGGAAGGAGTATTAAATATAATTGTGCCATGATTTTGAAAAATCATTCAGTCCTATTTACAAATATATATTTTCATGACGAATAAATTCTGTAAGATATCCAATATAGTGATTTTAATATCAAAACGGAGAATTGAAAAATATAAACTGGAATCAATATAAATAAAATAAACGTATACCGTATAGCAGATAACATTTATAATATATCGAAGTAAATGTTAGGTTAAAATTATATATAATTTTCTTCCGTTTGTAACTTTTGAGCCACGATCGTCCCACAGTTCAGATAAAGTACACTTTATTCCAAGCATTCCCCTTTACAATATAAATCCGAAAATTTAAAAAAATTGAAGTAGACCTGCTTTACTCGATACGTATCTCTAGATGTACAATCAAGTCCATCGAACATCTACAGAGAAATGCAGCAGCTTTATAATTCGGATAAATGGCGGTATGCAACGTATGAACGTTAAAACAAGCGATATTTATCGAGGAATCGTGAGATTCTTCTTACGATATAAAAAACGACACATACTGTGCCGCCCGAGCAATCGAGACAAGAATTGAAGGTGACCCGACGTTATTCAGGATCGACGACCCTTCGAGTCGTTGAAGATTCGTTTAGAAAACGTTCGGTAGGAGGAAATCACACGGTTATCCCAGCGATATGACAAGAATATTTAAAGAGGTGCATTGCTGCACAGTTTCACGATTCGAATGCAAAGTCCGATTGTAAAAGACGCATCGAATGGCTTTCAACATTGTCTGTATGGAGATCTTGCCATCATTCATTCATGATGCAATGTCATTTTCTGTGATTTTTCCGTCTTTTCCTTGTTGATAACTACTAATGGAAATTTAACATTAAATTAATGATGTTCGTTCTACACAGAAATCTGTTACATTGAATTTTTATAATTTCCACCAAAAAGAAAAAGAAGAAGAAAGTATTCTTGCTTTCCCACTTGCTACATAATGTAAAAACATCTTTGAACAAAATTAACGTAAAATTTTTAAACTAAAGATTTCACTTTTTAAAATAAAGTCAACTGGATTGTTACACAACTTTTTTTTATGAAATTATAATAGTTAAAAATATAGATAATTTCTCATCAGATGTATAAATGCTTTCGTCCACTTCTTAAATTGATCAACTTTTGTTATCATAATTTATTATCTTCTGCAATACAAAACAAATAAGAGTAGAACATAAAGAAAACTAGTGAGTCTCTATTATCCGAACTCGTCACAGAACGACTTCGTTCCTTAACGTGTTCCACTCGAAGTTTTGTATCCTAAATTTAATTTTGTAAAATCTGTTATATTTAAAAGAAGGAAAGATACAAAGCGGTAGTATGCTTAAGTCATCCTTCTTTTTATTACGTACGTTGTCTCGTATTTTCCTTTGTCTTATACACGAGAAGTTTAAAATCAAATTTTAAAAAAATAAATGAAATTAAATAAAATCGAAATTAGATTGAAATTAAAATTGAATTAAATTAAATTAAAATATGTATCTGCTAAACTAGTGTTTTTGCGATATAAATAAGTTAATACTTTTTTTATACAGAATGCTGAGAATATATTAAAAAACAGATATGGTTCTATTTAAAAAAGTAAAATTGATCTTTATATATTCTCTACGCACTCAACTGCCAATACTAATTACTTAATAATAATCAATTACCCAATTAAATATCCTCTGAAATATGTTTCGATATAATTAATAATGTTAAATATTTTAATTTTCAGTTAGATCATTCATTTTATATTTCTTCGATACGACAGTAATTTTTCATTTAGAACTCAAAAGAACATAATTGCCCCAAGACCATTTATTTTTAAATCAAGATATTTAACGATTTAAGCTTTAATAAATTTAAAAATATTGGTAATTGATATAGCAGTTTAATTGAATATAGCAGTTTTTGTGTTTCTAATGGCGTATAATTTACCAATCCAATTAGTAGGATTAGAACATTGTTTAAAAAATAACACGTTTTTGATGGCTATAAATGAACTTAAAGCCACTTTCAGAATTAGTGAAATAACTTTTCTAATTTTTAAAAAGATATAAATCCCTTGAAAAAAATAAAATTCTTAAAATAAAAGAAATATATATATATACAATTTTGTGTTATAAAATTAAAAAGTATCCAACTTTTATTCACTATTAAAGAAATATTACATTCAAATAATATTTCGTAATTCATTCTTCCTCAATTTGTGCATGTGGGAGGGATTTAAAGTAATTACGATGTACAGATGGTAGTTTGTGTAATAAGTCCATTATATCGTTGTATTTTAGTATTGCGATTAGTCTTACATTTTTGTACAGTGATGTTAATTCATATTATTCAATATTATTAAAGTTTTTTTGGTCTTCCTCAACGCGGTAGTAAATCCAGAGTTTTGAATAGTGTATCCTCATTCATTGGTGTTTCATATGGTTGAAACCATAACATTTCATGGTCAACATGGTTGAAATGAACATTTTATATGGTTCAATTTTCAAAAATCCAATATATTTTTAACCAATTTATCCTCTCGTTAGTATTTCTTAACCTTCTAAAAACCGCGTCCTCTAAAGGTTTAGTTCAAATGAAATCCTTCCCTTTCATTTCATTTAGAATGAAGTTATTTTTTTAATTTAATATTTTTTTATGACTTCGTAATATTCCTGAAAGATATAATATATTTCATATCAGTTTGAAACTTTTAGAATAAAAATTTCTATCATTCTATTAACTAGCTAATTTTCTGTGTGAAAAATCTTAGTGACTTTAAATATATTAGTTACAACTTGTTTAAAAATGAAAAGATAACGTAATTATAAGAAATGTAAATATTAAAACAGTTAGCTTGATTTTTTTGGAAAATGAACGTAGGCCACTTTCAAAATAAACGGCTTATATAAAAGACATATTTGTGAGTCGCTAAAAAGTAGCAAGCGAATGTTCTATATGCTCTTGTCCTATATAAAATTACATTTAATTTTTTCTGGTAAATCTGCTGATATTTATAAGTGTCATCTTAAACTTAATGTACTAAATTATTCTAAAATTTGTTTTTCTTTTTTCTAGGTTTATAATATGCCAAAAATTATCTAGTGTCACAAAAAGTTAATAAAAGAATCATACATAAATAATTAATTCCGGATGTAAAAGGTTTATTCAGTAAATGGTTCAGTTTTTTTAAATAATTTTTAATGTTAGTAGTGTTTTTTAGATGGCGAGAAATATACATTTTTTTCGAGTTTAAAACGGCTCGTTACTTCTTTTTTATTATTTATCTTAAACGCAACCAAATCAATAATTGATATCTTGCGAATTACTGTAACGAATTACATGAAAATTCATCGAATATTAGAGCAAAGATACAGTGGTTGTAGAAAATATTCATTGATGATTTTCAAGCAAATCTTAATATAATTATTGTTTATTAAATAATTTTTGTAAAACAATGTGTCTATACATATTGAAGTAGATGATTGTGTAGAATACATATCATTAAAAAAATATCAATAGTTTGCAAAAGTAACGAAAAAAATCAATAGAAATCAATAGAAAAATCAATAGAAATATACGAGTGGAAAGTATTCATACAATTCTTATGACATTCTTGATATAAGAGAATTTCTTATAGACTACGTTTACAACATTGTATAATCACTTTCTAATAATGATCAGTGTAGATGGAGAAACACTTCGCTAGCGTCTATAACTTCGCACTATTTAAAAATATTAAAAATGAACCGAAAAAGGTACGAAACTCACAATAGAAAAAGTTATTATTAATTTATACACAGCCAGTGTAAAAGTTTGACAGCTATTTCGCGAATCGTGTATAGACCAAGATGTACTATACAAAATTTAAAAAAATAAACTCTAAAAAATAAGTCAGAAAATCGACATCTGCAGAAAATTAATATTCAGTATTAAGTATAATTATTAGCATGCTGGTCAAATTATTATTCGAATGATTAAACAAAACCCAAAACAAATGCAATAAGTATTGTGAAGCATTAAAACAATAATTTAAATAATTGATTTATTTGCTAATACTATGCGTAGCTTCTTAAGGAATCAAAGTTATCATGATAGAAGAAAAAATATTTTGTCAATGAAACACACGAACAAAAAGAAAAAATTAGAAATTAAATGGAGTATTAGAACAGAGTAGCTTTCAGGGACAAAAATAAGTCCATTTTTAGGTCGAATGGACATTAATGGAAATTAATCTAAAAAACTTATTATCCATTTGTAAAACATAGTTTCAATTGGCATGTTATAGTTTATTAATAAAATAATGAACCATCCGGTTTATATTCAGACTTTAAAACATAATTTTTTCTTTAGTGTTGAAAAGAAAATGAGGATTAAACACAATTTTATTTTTATGATAATAATCTAAAGCATAGTGGGTTCAATACACTGTGGGTTGTACACAATACACTAGCATGCCTAAAATGCCTCGACAAATGCTAGATATTAATTCCATTGAACATTCGTAGGATTATCTGGAATGTAAAATTAGAAAAAAACATCATATTTCTTCAAAACATAATTTAAAAAATGCATTTTTGGAGAAATGGAACAAAATACCTTCCCACGTAACAGCAAATTTAGTAAATTCAATGCCTAGAAGAATTGCAGCTATTATAAAATCAAAAGAAAGTCCTACGAAAATTCAACGTATTAATTAAGTATTAATTAAGATAATTCATACACATTCTTGTCGTAAATTTAAATTATTTTTTTTTCATTAAATTATTAATTTGTCATACAGTAATTGTACAAATACTTTTCGCTTATATGTTTGTATTGATTTATCGATTTCTTTTTTACCAATTTTGTAAAAAACGAGTGATATTTTTTTATGATATGTATTCTCCAAATATATATAGAAATTCATTTTTTATAAAAATTATTTAATAAATAATAATTATATAAAGGATTATTTAAAATTCATCAGTGTACGAATACTTTCTACACCCACTATATATCATAAAGTAATATCGCTATAAATTTGAATATGTCGGTAGACTATTACGAAAAAGATCATCTGAAAGAAGTATTATAGAAGCAAATTTATGCCATTTGTATACGACTAATCAATGAATAATTTTGCCCGGTGCGAATAAATATCACTTCGTGTATTCGATTATTCGAAACTAAATAACTGAACTGTTTCTCTCCTAACATGCAAAACTTTCCTAGAAAAATTACGTATGAGTTTTTAAATAAATTAAAGTTAAAAAAAAATTAAAATTGCAGCTGTAGACCATGTTCTCAAGAAAAAATTTGAATTTTAATCTTTCGATTACCATAGATGTATTTTCATTGCAATATTTTTCGTAACAAATTTTGTTAATTTTCAACTTTATCAGTATGAAACGATTAATTTTAAGAGTCAAATTAAATCTAATCAACTTTAGCCCATTAAAGACTAAACAATAGTTAAAAATAATCTTAAAAATATTCAAATTCTTTTTAATTTTATACAATTGTAGAATTTGGTCAGTATAAATTATAATATTGGATTACATTTTAACCATAAAAATGTTAAAAAAACAAATTTGACAATGTAAAATAATTAAAAATTATTGTTGAATTTTATTGTTATTCATTTTATTGTTAGACATTCTTCATTGTTTAAATATTTTTCATATATATCCACATTGTTTTTTCTATAATTCGACTACTCAAACTTATACAGAAACAAATTCACTTAATCAATTAGATTAGAAGAATCTTCTGCTTTTAGTTACTTGAACTTAAAATTTATTTCATTGTAATTTAATATTAATTTCTACTCACTATTCCTCATATTTAATTTTTATTGACTTTGTACAGTTACTAATTTTTACTTTATTCACATTTAGCTATATTTTCTGTAATTTTTGTTCTGTACATTATTCATCTTTGTATCAAATAGTTTATGTAAATAATTATTTATTTAATATTATATAATAATTATATATGATTAGATTAAATTAAAATATTTACTTTCTTATTATTCTTAGATAAATATGTAGAATAAATACGTAGAATAATATGAAAGATAATAGAAAAGTATATATAAAATATATTACAGTGTAGCGTTCTTCTGGTAAATAGTAAGTTTCTAAAAAATGTGAAAGAGGAGGAAATTTTGTTTGTTTTTGCAATACTTGCTAATGTTTATTATATTTGTAATACTGTTTAAGAAACCTTCAATTTTTTAATTTTATTTTAATATTTTAATTTTTAGTTTATAAAATTTGTCATATGAAAATGAAATCGACATATATAAGTTTATATTATACTATATACTATACTATACTATGCTATATTCTACACTATAATAGAAAATGTTAAGCTGTCGATTAATAATCGGTTAATTAGTTAAAAAATATATCATTCCATTCAAATAATTGGAGGTCAGTTTCGTTTCTTAAACAATATTATAAATACAAAAAATTAAACTAGGCCATCATATTGGCTATAAAATATTTTAAAACTACTTTTTCTTTCATTTTTTTCAAAACGCATTTACAAGAAAAATGCTAGTCTACAATATCATGAATAATTGTCTACAATAACTTATTATATTGTTTAAAATAGTAACAAAATCTCGTTTCCTTTTAATTATGTAAATCATAAAATAGACAAACGATACCTTATCTTCGATCGTTTAAAGATTCATTTTGACAAATAAGAGCGTGCTAAAAACAAATGAATAAACAAACGGACAGATCTCCAGTAACATTACTTTGTAACACACATACACATACACTTGTTTCTTTCAATTAATTCGTGATTTTTTTCTCGATATTACACTCGCGATCAATTTTTCCTTTACGCGTGAAATTGAAATAACGGCATATTTAAGGGAACTTCATTAATTTATTGAGCGCAAAACTGTATGATCGTTGCGTTGTTGAGCACATTTGAGGAGAAATCTGTGGCAATTTGAAAGCCCGTATTTTCATAGAGCATGAACTGTCTGCTCTGACGTAACATCCTTTGGATGTCAAAGCGAGTGGCAAAACGAATGGACGAGCAATTTACAAATCAGTTGAAGTAACTGGACGATATGCGGGTTCGCAACCAGAGAAATCGAGAAATTTGGATCTCGAAATGTGATCGATTGTCTGGTCGCGTGTCCCACATCTATTGGCGATTAAGCAGCTTTTCAATGTTCCTTTCCCACGGAAATCTTTATTGCACGCTTCGAGGATTCTATAACGCATTCTATAACGTGTGAAACATGTTCAATTGCAATTCGAGGTATGAAAACGTTTTCACC